GTGAGCGAGCGGGAAAAAATGAAAGAAAACGCGACCGGTTCTGATTCGCGAGTCAAAAGCTTGTACATTGGCCGCGTACACAGGATTCCCGGCGCAATTATTTCTTGCGGAGCGTGTCGGTGCGTCGATGTACCCGTCTAAGCGGTGTATACCGACTGCATCGCCGATGCACTGGTGCATGTCGATGCAGCGCGAGCATCGAGCCGATATTTGCGCCGCGCAAACAGAGGATTCCGATCTGCGAACAGGGCGGACGTGTCGGTGCACGGCGGAATGGTGGTTCTAAAAACGTGTCGACGCGGAAACAGTCTGTCATCCTCCCACCATTCCCGCGGTGTTACGTGACTCAGAATTATCCGACGGTCTGGTTCCTTTGTTTCGTCCTGCCTTGGTTGCTGGGTGTCCTCGTTACAGGCTGGCCGAGGTATCTGAAACGAATTTGGATTTAACTCTTCAAGGACCGCAAAGAAAGCTAGTTAACTATTAACCACGGAAGATGATTAGAAGAAATAGTGTTTATATATTTTTCTTGTTTGTTTACTGATTAAATATATAGCATTGATTCTAAAGGATAATTTAGATGATTGGTAAAAGACTTTTCGAGAGACGTAAATATCGAAGTCGGTCTAGACTTCTGTAGACTTATAAGGGTTGCAGAAATTACTGGTTTCAATAATTATTACTGAAATATTTTATTTATTTTGAAATACATTTTTTACTTAAAATAAGAAAGTTTAGATTTGATATTCTGGATTTAATTAGCGTGGAAATATAATAAATAGAATACTTCATTTCTGGTGCAAATTGATAAACATATTAGATATGGCAGGTAATTGCTATTTATTCTTGATCTAAGCTGCTTCCTAGTTTCCTAGAAAGTCGCAAGTCTGAACGATCTAAACAAGTCAAATATACTGAAAACCAGCGGTCTTCGAAACTCCAATAAACTCGGAGGTTGACTCTAAATTCAGCGCACGTGGAACGGGTTTCCTCGATCGTTTCGAACTTTGGATCCTGTGTTGATAAACGCCGATGTGAATTCGTCGAAACGGATACATCGGTCGGTTCTTCTCGCGACGAGTATTCCGTTTACGCCCGCGGGTTCCCAGACACTTCGATGAACCGACCTTGTCGTCAACCACCACGCTCGAGGGGTGCTCAACGGTCACCAACCAATTAATTTGACCGATTAATTCCGCACTGGGAATTACTTTCATTAATTAATTGTCTGCCAAGTTCGAACGAACCTTGTATCATTCAGTAGTGTTCGAGTCGCGCGCGAGCTGAGGGACTTGCGCAGCCATTAATCATTTTAATTAGTTCGTTAACTGGTAGCTTTGGCGGAGCAGTTAATTAAAGGGCAGATCAATTAACTGTGTGCGAAAACACGTTCCCCTGTTTTGAGGCACGTCCTCTGCTTCTTGGTCCTCTCCGCCGTAACGTTAGTTGATTGTACGTTAACCGTTCGGAAGTGTTGTGTAACGCGTAACGAGGGTGGGTTATGAAATAGGCAGCACCAGATACGACGAAGATGAAAAATAACTGTTCCGAGTACCTCGTAAATATTACAAAGTACGTTTATTGAGATTGTGCACGACTTATATTACCAATAAATACATTTCTATAACAATCGTCCACTAAAGAAAATAAGTAATTGATCAAACACTAGTTTTAAAAAACTTGTCAATTTAATGAATATCGAATTTTACAAAAATTACTTAGTAAAGAATCTATTTTTAAGCCTCTAACCTTTTGCATTCCAATAGTCACTTGATTCGGCACATGCAAACTTATAAAATTTAATATTTAACGCTAAGCTTCGTATAATGCATCGATATGTGGAATATTGAATAAAACAACTGTGCTCCCTAATCTATTCACACTGTGTCTTCAAGTTCCTTCCAAAGGTATAAGTGTTCGTAAACCTAACGTTAAACACAATCAGTTTTTCGCCTGCATCCTCTATATCTTGAAACAATAAAACGACCGTTTTCTTGAGATGCATTTAGCCAACAGTACGTACAGCTTGTCCCATTAATTTCGTCTGTTGAACGTAACCGCTTAATTAATTACCCGCGAAGCAATTAATTCTGTCGGGTCAGTTAGCTAAAGAAGACGCATGTACCGGGACTACAAAGAGTTGTCTATCGTGCGAATAGGAAAAAAGGGTTAACGACGCAGTTCTGCGTCACTCTGTTAAGAAAAAAAGGCCGACGTTCACGCGATCAACGAGCAAGCTGAGTAGCAGATGACTCGGGCGGATCTCTTTTCTGCCATCCGCCGTGTTTTTTTGTGCCCAGTGACACGTACTTTTTGCTCTTTCCACCGATCGTGCGAACCGGAGGACCCCGTTGAGCAACCAGAAACACTAGAGGCACACGAGTCATTTTTATTCGCGACCGTTTCTGGCCTTTGACCTGTTCTCCCTTCGCGCCTCGCTCGGAATAACCGAGTTCGGTGGATCGAGTGAGACCGGGCCGGGACCACGGAGCCACTTGATCGTTCCCGGCCATCGAAAAACGCAATAGGATTGAAGGCTGATCTCTATTCGGCAGCTACTTGACTGAGAATAACCTTGACCAAATCTCTCGATGCCTGGTTCCGCTGTGTGAAAGATGCGGTATTTTTGACTGTTGGTACTGTCTAACGATAAACCACTCCAGAGACGAACGTTTGCAACGATCCACTTGTCGATGCTATCACCGTTATAAATATTTGAAGCTGGGGCTAATTCTGTAGCGAATAATGGGGCTGCGCGAGCGATTGATCGGTGACACTGAACATTTAGATTTTGCATTAAGTGTTCCTGTTGTAGTTAGCTATTGAGTTTTGTCAATAATTCGATTTATATTGATTATTCTTACTGGAAGATTTATTATATTTATGATGACCTAATTCTTAACTCGAGAAAATGAATGATATTGTTTCATTTATCTTACAAGAAAAACCTATAAAATATTTTCAAATCATAAACTGATTCACAGTTCAAAAATCCTTAATTGTTACGTATATCGAATCATTTCTCTCTTTTTAGAATCGTTACCTTCTTAAACTGGTCAATTTTATCTCTTTAATTACTTCCTTTTAAATTGTTTACATGAATGAAAACGATTAAACTCCTTTCTAACGTGGTATACTGAAAAGAGAAGCCTATTAATAAACTTCCGGTCTGCAGTGTGTTAAATAACACCGAAAGCGGTCGATCAGCAACATGTCTACCCAACGTGCGGCAAGTGT